CTCGGCGGAGACAAGGAATCACTTCTAGCTTCAGCGTTAAATTACTTTATATTGAAAAGTAATACATGACATACAAAAGTAAGAATAGTAGTCATCAAAGTAATACTTCGAAAAAAAAGTCGCTTAAAGTAAGATAATATTTTATGTTTGCAAACCGGATATATTTCCGTAGACAGGAGGGTATTAGGATTCTAAATATAAGATGCATTTTGGAATGTTTCATAGCGCAAGAACAGACTTGGCTCGTTTTACTGGCAGAACAGAAACAACAGTAACACACGTCACACAGTCCGTGGACGCCACATGGACAATGAGTGCTTTTAGCAGGGTGGCGCCGGGGCCGTCGCCGCCCGCGCCGCCCCCGCCCTCTGCGTCGCCACCGTGCCTCAGGCCGACGCCGACGCCTATGCCGTCGCTGTCGCCACCGCCACCGGACTTCGTCCGCACACGAGCCCTACCTTGACACGATATCTCGCGCGTGACTCAAGAGGCAGCAGCGCGAGAGTTGCACACTCAGCTGCACTGGAAACACCGACCACTAACATACGAGTATAATTTATAGACAGAGCGGCAGTTCTAGAAACAACCAACGTAAAACCAGCTGCTCTACGAAGTTGCCACACAGCTGCACACACACACATACACGTCTCGGCCGAGTGGTGGACCGGGAGCATTGCGCGCTCGCCTACGCTCTACGAGTGAGAGGCAGCAAAGGCGGCCGCCTAGGGCAGCCAGGGCGAAGCGAAACGACCTACAAACACGGAGAAGGGAGAAGCCCACGGGGTGCCAGCGCAGGGCTCGAGCGCGGCGCAGACAAGTGATTTGCGGAAGCGGAGTGGCGTCGGCGGTGACGAGGTCGTCGGGAACGACGGCGATGCGACGGTGGTGGCGACGACGGTGACGACGGCCGAGTCGTGGGCGGCGGGGAGCGCGGAGGCGGCGCAGGCGACGGCGGTGGCCGCGGCGGTGGCGGTGGCGCGTCGCCGCGGCTCCCCTACAGATCACTACGACTATGCGCCCTGTAAGTACACAGGTCCGGCGGCCGGGCGGGCGCACCGGCTAGGACAACCACCAAGCTCTTGTGCATGGGCCAACGATCTACGAAGCGGGGGTTAGCCTCCTGGCCTGCGAGCGAAGCGTGCTGGTGCCTCTGGCGTGGTCACCGGGTGGGCGGGCAGGCGGCGAGCGGCAGCGGCGGCCGAAGCGTCCCCGGGGGTTCGATGCGCGGACCATTCGCCGGGCGCGGGCGGGGGCGACGCGGGACCGGCAACTCAAGCGGCAGCGCGCGACCGCGACGTGTGAAGCCTCTGGTCGCGCGCTGCCGCTTCACGGGAACTGAACGCGTCGGCCGCGGCGCGGTCCGCAGCGACGCATCAAGCAGATAGATTTACTGCCGACATGCGGGAGTAAAGAGGGGGCGCAGCGGAGGGCTTTACCGACCCAGCGAACCTTAATTCTGTGAAGTGGGTCCCGTCCCAAATTCTGAAAGGTGAGTGCGGTATGCGCGAAGAGCCAATGGGAACGCGGCGACCGCGTAGAAGAGTGGGTGTCGGCGTGGGGCGCACGAAGGAGAATAGGCATAGAACAAACTCGTAACTGAAGAAGGGACAGATACAGAGACTGGGGAGTGCGTGAGAGA